TACAATGTGATGTTTTATGTGTGTGTTTTTTTTTTTCCATAGGAAAATCATACTATGTATTTCAGAGGCCTCCAGGACATTGTTAACAAAGGCTAAATAAACATTGCCAGGAAAATCATACTGAGGAAAATATTCTGAATGTAAATACATTTGCTCATTCTTTTTATCCTGTTTATGCAGCTCATGACCTCACAAAAATCAGTGTCCTTTTGCATTATCCTTTAAGCATCCCCCACTGCACAAAGGACTGAACTCCTGTGAGAACTGGGGCCAGCAGGAATGCACCCAGGGAGTGGGGGTGGAGCTGGGCTTTATGTAGCAGCTGTCCCCCAGGACAGAACTGGAAGAGGATGCAAATCCTTTCTCTCCCAAGCTGTTGGCCTCAATTCAGGCAAGTAATTTGCTTCTGGAGGATTAACCCCCTCTCCCTCCAAAACAATCTAATCTCCCTATGTACAGATGCCACCAATATCTTCGTAGGTCAATTATTTCTACCAATGAAATTATTTACATAACAAAGATAACTTAAAGAAATTGGATAAAGACAGAGAAACATATGAATCCAACCAGATGATTTATTCCTTTAAAAATGCTATTGACGGCTCGGCGCCTATAGCTCAACCGGCTAAGGCGCCAGCCACGTACACCTAAGGTGGCGGGTTCGAGTCCCCAGCCCGGACCTGCCAAACAACAATGACGGCTGCAACCAAAAAATAGCCGGGCGTTGTGGCGGGTGCCTGTGGTCCCAGCTACTTGGGAGGCGGAGGCAGGAGACTCGCTTGAGCCCAGGAGATGGAGGTTGCTGTGAGCTGTAATGCCACGGCACTCTGCCCAGGGGGACAGCTTGAGGCTCTGTCTCAAAAAAAAAAAAAAAAAAAAAAAAATGCTATTGACAAAATAAAAACTCCCCCCCAAAACGGCTTGATGAATACCTATAAATGTTAAACAAAAAATACGCACAAACTATATATAGAAGAATGCAGATCCAATTAACTCAGGTTTTGGGGGCAAAAGTAAAAACAGCAACATTCTGATAGGATACATACATACAAGTAGTCCTCATCTCAAAACAAATGCTTTCTTTCATTTTCTCTATTCTCCAGAATACTGGTAGAGGAGTTTCATGGTGAAAAAAAAAAATTGAGGTTAAAAAAAAGAAAACACCCTAAAAAGAACAGAAAGAAAAGAAACAAAGGTAAAAATAGTCTAAAGTTGGCTGTCAATGGAAACTGTTAGGCAGAGCCAGCCTACCCGCTCCTGATGTCCTTTTGTCCCTGCCTCTTGCCATATTCCCTTAACTTCCGTTTTCTCAGTAGCACACCACACTCTAAGTTAATGCTTTATTTTAGATTAATTAACATACATTATCACTTAAAAGGGCTAAAATGTACTTGGAAGTCAGTCATTCAGTGATTAATGTAGAACAGGCCATGCTATCTGCTTTTTTCTCACCCTTGAGATCCACTACTATTAGGAAACGTTTTTCTTCATCTCTACATATGCTTCATTGTATTCATGTTATTTGTATATTCCTCATAGAAGTGCCACATAATGCAGAAATTGACAAAGCAATTAGAAAAAAGTTTTGAGTGGGGCACAGAGGGAGAAATTTGGATTTTTTAAATTTCTGAAGAATAGTCTATATCTGAGTATGCTTATGAAGCAGAGTTTGAAGACATGTGAGTACCCTGCACCCTTAGAAAGAATGGGGGGTAGAGTTAATAGGGCACCAAACTTTCTAAAATTCAAAACTTTGTCTAAGAACAGCTTTGAAAGAAAGGGAGGACTTTCTCTTCTTGCCTTATTCCCTCTGTGCTCAACCTTTTTTGTGTGGGGATAGGGAAGAGCAAGGTTTTGCTCTGTCAACCCCGCCAGAGTATAGTGGTGTCATTCTAGCACAGCTACCTCAAACTCCAGGGCTCAACCGAGCCTCCTGCCTCAGACTCCAGAGCAGCTGGGACTACAGGTGCCCAATACAGCGCCTCACTAACTTTTCTATTTTTTGTAGAGACAAGGGTCTCACTCAGGCTTGTCTAGAAGTCCTTACCACAATGAATCCTCCCACCTTCAAGCATAAGCCTCTGTGCCTGGCTTTGCAGTCAACCATTTTAACCTCAATCCCTCCCTCAATCCAGAATTAAATATATTACTAGTATTATACACATATTTACAGCATGGTTGGTCAAACAGGCTTTTACAGGTTAGCCTAAAATACTAATAAAAATGATTGAAATGCCAAACTCAAGTTAAGTTTAGTGCATAATTTAAACCAATGCTTGCCTCCTATATAAAGACATAAAGAAGAGAAAGTATGATTTCAAGAACTAGGGCTCTTGGCTCGTGCCCATAGCACAGTGGTTATGGCGCCGGCCACATGCACCGAGGCTGATGGGTTCAAACCTTGCTCCAGCCAGCTGAATGACAATGACAACTGCAACAACAACAAAAAAATAGCCAGGTGTTGTGGCAGGTGCCTGTAGTCCCAGCTACTTGGGAGGCTGAGGCAAGAGAATCACTTAAGCCCAAGAGTCTGAGGTTGCTGTGAGCTGTGACGCTACAGCATTCTACTGAGGGTGACATAATGAGACTGTCCAAGAAAAAAGAAAAAATGTAATAAAATGTTTATTACATTTGAGAAAATGCCAAGTTCAAGCTGAGCTTCCTCTGTCCTTCTAGCTTGACTCTCTCTAGGTAGGATGATAGAGGAAAAGGACTTGGTTAAAAGAAATCATCCTAAGGAAAGAGGAGTTAGACCTTAAGAAAAAAGGCTCTAATACTAGAGCAGTGGTTCTCAACCTTTCTAATGCCGCAATGTATTTTCATTATTAAAAAGGAGTCACGACCCACAGGTTGAGAACCACTGTACTAGCGGAAGCACAGGGGAGGAACAGAGGAAACTGTGCCACTGAGAGAAAAGATGGGCAGACTCTAAGGAAGGGCTGAAAAGGAGGGATTTGCCTTCTTCTTCCCCCAGCTGAGTTCTCCACTCTACTCTTATACCTCCCCCTTCCAGCTATTTCCATCCTCTTTCCAGGTCTCTTCTTTACCTCCTACATCCAACTCCACTGCTATCTTCTTCTTTTTTTTTTTTTTTATTAAGTCATATATACATAGATCATGAATTCATTTATGCCTTTGTGGGATTCAATGTGTTGATTATCTGTACAAATTAGAGTGCTTACATCCTACTAATGCATACAGCTTTCACCTCATTTACTTAATCACAGTGTTAAGACATTTGTGTTTAATACTTGATAGATTTGACTTGTACCCTTGCAATATGCTCCATAGGTGTAGTCCTACCATTAATCCTCACTCTATCCAATCACCCATCTCCACTTCTATCTTCTTCCGTTAATCCTAGAAATAGGGGCCTAAACTGGGGCCTAAACTGACTTTGAGAGAAATATAAACAGCAGAAATTTTATTACTGATTGATTGAGATAGTCTCACTCTATCACACAGGCTAAAGTGCCATGGCATCATCATCACAGCTCATAGCAACTTCAAACTCAGGCTAAAGCAAACCTCTTGCTTCAGCCTCCTAAGTAGCTGAGACTAATTTTATTAGAGTCAGGGTCTCCCTTTTGCTCAGGCTGGTCTCGAACTCCTGACCTCAAGCAATCCTCCTACCTCAGTCTCTCAGAGTGCTAGCATTACAGGCATGAGCCACTACACCCAGACAATTAACAGAAATTTTAAAAATGATGGATAGCCTTGGTAATTACCTGAAAATACAGGGTATTAAAACACAGATACTTTGCAAAGGTCTTGAACAAGGAGAGGAGACAGTCAGACTGCTTTTCTAAACACCTGCACACACACATGCTTGACTCTAAATTTAAATGCAGCATAGCTGTTCAAGATTTAAATGAGTTTTCAAAAATTTTTTATAATCAAAAAAATTACTGGTATTTTAAAATAGCACAGAACATTGGAATAACCAAATTGATACTACAGTTGCTAAAGGAGAAAAAATTTGTTTTCAATGGCCAGTGAATACCGTAACGAAATCTAAAGTTTCTATGTCTGATATTGAAACTGTGCCATCCTGGAGTATTACACTTACGCCACTTACACTTAACTCTAGGTGTGGGTCATGGGCCAAGACAGCTATATTTTTTAAAGCTTCACAGGTAAAGCTACATACACTTCTGGTTAAGAGGGACTATCTTAGAGGATGTTAAATACAGTAGAACCTCCATAGTGACCACTGACCACCTCCTTAAGTTGACCTCATTTTCATAGACCGGATATGCACCACACATACGCATCAGTACCATAGCCCTGGTTCCTTATGTTGACCACCTCTATATGTTGACCAGTTTGTTACAGTCCCTTGGGTGGTCAACTTACAGAGGTTCTACTACAGTATCACTCTCAACTCCCAATGTACTCTTAAAATTTCATATGCAGAACAGCTTTGCCAACAAATTCATGACTAATTTCATTATTTCCTAGGGCTTGTCTTTATTTGATAAGTACTAGAGTAACAATTGAAAAAATATATTTAAACTTTCCTTCTCTCAACACCAGTAAGCTATTTAAAATTAAACACATCCAGTAGAAGTTTAAAAGGTAATAAATTTAGAGGTACGGTGGCAACCAGGTATTTACTTTGGAAAGTAAAGCTGTCAATCTACACCATGAAAGAAGAGATTGGTAGGAGTGAAGCTAGGATAGAAAGAGAAGCTGTCTGGCCATCAATTTCTTCCTCATGGCATGGCATGGCATGGCATAGCTTCATTATTTTATTTATTACTACTTTACTGAGAACACACCTGTAGACTCCTGTTCAAATGGAAAGAAAGTATCACCTCAACTGTAATCTGTTTTTCAGATTATGTATTTTTTATTATCTACATAAATTAATTCTACTAATATTAAAAACTAAGAGCTAATTGTACTGTTTGGATATCATTGGCTGGTACCTTAACCTCCATTTATTTACTTTTATTTCTCATCTATGTTCTGTGAAAAAACAAAGTTTATTAACATACCTTGGGTCAAGAAGACTCCTCAAAAATTTGAAAAGTAAAATCTGGTTCTGAATAGAAAAACAACAAAAAATACAATTAAATGTTAATACAAAATTTTCAAATTATGCCATGTTGAAGAATTACTCTCAATGATTCCTTTAAAATGAATAGATGTATGGCGATAGCCATTAAGCCCTCTGTAGAGATCTAAGAAATTCTAAAGAATCATTTGGAGATGCTTTATGTCCTCTCGATAATTCTAATCACTATTGCACATTCCATTTTGAGTGTAAAAGGAACACAAACACTGTGTTATGGCCAAGATTAAAAAAAGACCTCTACTGAAACAAATCACTGAGCTGTTTCCAGTGCAAGGACTCTCTGCGTGTCAGGTGCTTAGAACTGCTCTGCAAATGGTGAGTTCTGGCTGCAGCAATAGGTCGACACTTCCTTACCTAGTCTTTCTGTGGTAATGGGCTGCCATAAGATACTTAATCTCAGTGAGGTGGGATTTTTGAGGCCTAAATTCACCACCTCCAATAAAAAAAGCTCATTAACTCCACAATTTAATCAACTACAGAAGAGATGATAATCAAACTTCAACATGTTAGCAATCAATATCCCATAAATTCTGGGTTCTGTTTTTGCCACTTACTAAGTGACTCACACAAAGTAAGTTCAGCTCAGTTTCCTTCTGTGGAGAGAAAAGACAGCAACATCTTCTGTGCCTTCTATACAGGGTAACGCTGAGGATTCAATGAAATAAAACCCTGTATAAATAATGTTTCTACTTTCTTGGAAAACCTAAGTAAAAGTTATGACTTTTCAGTTATACTTCTTTTTAAATTTTTGATACATTCAAACTTTACCTGTGGAAAGCAAGGGAACTCTCAAAGCTGAAAGGATTAATGTCATTTAGAATATGACTCTTAAAATATACCTATCAGTCTTTGATTTTCAATCCTTTCCCTATCACTTTGTTTTATTTTACATGACTTTCCTCCTGGTTATAACTTAATATTCTGGCTTATTTTTCATTTCAAGAGTTCTGAAAACAATTGGTCAGAGGCATATTGCTTGCCATCAAAAGTTAAAGGTACTTTATAAGATTTGTGTGTGATTCTCACTCAATAAAGCTCAGCAATAAAATAAATACTTTATTTCTTTAAAAAAAAAAGAGTCTAAGATTCCATAAACAGATCACATCTGAATAGCCACTTTTTTCTTATCCATTATACTTCATTGTTTATACATTTATCTGATGAATAAAATTATATTCATTTACCCAGACTCTGTCTTAATATCCTTAGATACTAAAAAAAAAAGAAAGAAAGAAAAAATCCTATAGTTGATAATCTTAAAATTTAAAGGACAATGACAACACCATCATGACAACAGGCAAGATTTACAAGAACTGCTGACATTTTAAAGGGGAGGGATGCTCTGGGGGTTGTGAGTAGTTTTAACAGAAATGTCCTTCCAGCCCCCTCACTAGATTGGGTTTCATGTCCCTCATGCAGTTCCTCAGTATCCTGGGCAATGCTCTATCATCATTCAAGTCAAATATTCTCTAATTGTCTTTTGGCTTATTTGTCTTCTTCCTTGAGAGCAGAGATGTTTTGTATCCTCAGCACCTGAATATTTGTTGTATTAATGGTGAGTCTTTATCTATAGGAGACATAGAAGGAACAAAAGCTTCTCAAATTCCCTGTCAATGAGTTTTGCCCTTGAACTTAAAGTAATAACTTGAAGAAATGAGAAAGAGTATAGCTGCATTTTCTCTGGCTATAAGTTTTGCTTCAAAAAAGGCAGTAGTTCTCTAGTACACAGAAGATAGTTTAAATTCCTTAGCATCACATATTAAGACTGTTCAATATCAGGCCCCAAGCTTTATTTTGTAGTCTCTATAATTTAGCTCCTCCCCTCCAAAATATCCTTGTAGCTTAATCTAATGCCACTTCTGCCCCACCATATCATTCTTCAAATAGACCTGACCGTTTTCTGAATGTGAGTGCTGTTTCATGCTTTTAAGGCTTTACATAACCACAATCTTTTTTATTATGTAGAAAGCCTTTCCCAATTCTGTGCTTGGAAAACAAATACCAGTCATTGAAGACCAGTTCAGGTATCTCTGGCATTTCTGTCTGACTTTCTTTCTCACAGTATATCACTGTCTTCTCTTGTTCCTACAGCACTTTTTATCTATCTCGAGTGTAGCTTTTTTAACATTATACTGTAGTTTCATATGTAAGAACATCTCTGTTCTGTAGAAAAATAAATGGAAGGTTTATTTATTTTTATTTGTGTCCCCACAGCTTAGCACACTGAAACAAAGGGGACCACAATAAGTATTTAAATAAATGGACTCCTTATTTTTGTCTCATGCCAGCTGCTCTGGTTCTCACCTTGCACAGGTATTCCCCATACTACCATTGCCACTTGCAGACTCTGGGTTGTGCTTCACATCCCTGTCATTGTCCTTTTCCCTACTCTATCATTTGTGACCATAATGGCGGTTCATAAGCTCAACACTAGCACTCCCGTGGGAAGTGGGTAGTGGAATAGCAGGTCCATTAAACAGTACTTCTGAGCTTCTCGATATTCAGCATGTACACAGCTGTTTCTAGTTAAGATTTTCGAAGAAAAATTCTAAATAGTCAGTACTAATGTAATCTGAGGATGACAAAGTTAGGAATAAGTAATATAAATCTCAAAGGGTATATATGAGTCCTACAGCAAAAGAAAAGAAGATCTTTTGTGAATTATAATTTCTCAACTAAGTATAGGTTATAGATCCAAAAATATTTCTTTGATGTTAATATTTGTTATATAGAGAACAATGAACTCCCTCATTTCTAAACACAGAGATCATCATATAACTCTTCTCAAATAACACACACAGACACATGCACAAAGACAATGTATAGAAACTGCTATTAACTATCAACTGAAAAAATTACTACAATCAAAATAACTTAGGTGAAGATTTAATCATTGTCTCACCACTAGATGTTTTTCACATATATGTCTGTAACATTTACCTGAAGCTTTTTAATAACTGTTTCGATCTGTCCAGAAAAGTGGGTAGCAACCAGCTCTGCAGCTTTACAGGGTTTCAGGGACACAAGTTCCTGAAGTTAAAGCAAAACACAGTCATTTTTAATGGTTAATTTAAATAGAATATCCTTAGATGTTGGGCATGATCACCTACCTCAATATTGTTACAAGCACCCACAATGCATTTCAGGAGGCTTTGATACAGGGCCTCAATTTTAAAAGTACAATGCAAATCAGTAAAATTAAAAATGTGCCATGTAAAGAATTTGATATTTTCTTAAAAAAAGATAATTCAGGGCAGTGCCTGTAGCTCAGTGAGTAGGGTGCCGGCTCCATATACCGACAGTGGCGGGTTCGAACTGAGCCCTGTCCAAACTGCAACAACAACAAAAAAATAGCTGGGTGTTGTGGCAGGCACCTGTAGTCCCAGCTACGGGGGAGGCTGAGGCAAGAGAATCACCTAAGCCCAAGAGCTGGAGGTTACTGTGAGCTGTAATGCCATAGCACTCTACCAAGGGTGACAAAGAAAGACTCTGTCTCTTAAAAAAAAAAAAGTAATTCCGAATTCTTAGAAAATGGAAGCACTATAAAATTCTGAATGTCAGTCATGATATCTACAGGAGAAACACAAGGAACAAAAGCTTCCCAAATCCCTCCAAATGAATTTCACCCTTGAGCTTTAAGTAATAACTTGAAGAAATGAGAAAGAGTATAGTTGTAATTTCTCTGGCTAAGAATTCCAAAACTTCTAATAGATTTAGAAACTGCACATATCTTAAGAAAGAAACTTAAGGTTCTAAGATGTACATGAGATGAAAATACCAACCACTGTTAAACAAACACTGTTAATAATACCTATTTCTACCAAATCTAAGACCTCTGATCTAAGTTCTCTTTCCACTTTCCCTGATACTACCAGCTATCCTTTCCTTCTTATAATCATCTTCTTATTGGTTTCTGTTACCTACTAGTCTACCTTTCCAAATGCTCTTTCTCTGTGGGAACACTGCAACCAAACATAACCACAATACATGGCTAAAAGGCAAAGAATGAATGTGCACCAGCAAAATGAGGTATTATTATACATTCACTGGACTGGGAACATTTTAAAGCCTGTCAAGATACAGAGCCAATGGGAATTCTCACATAGTGCTGGCATCCTCTGACATTTAAAATATTACCACAATTAACTGGCAATTAATTATGTACCTGAGAACACAGAAAATAAGTTAGCACTCATCAGAATTACTAGAAGGGCTTGTTTAGACACATATTGCTAAATGTGTTTCTGATTCAGAAACCATTTCTATTAAGTTCTAGGCTGATGCTGGGATGCTGGTTTGACAATTACCGCCTTAGAGAAATGCATGTAGCTGTCCTCAAGATGCATATATAATAATGGTCGTGAACACACTATTTTTAATATCAAAGACTAGAAACAACCAAAATGTCCAGCAGCAGCAAAATGAATAAACTGATACAAAATAAAATACTAGGCAATAAAAATGAGCTGCAGTAACCACATACAATGAAATACACAAACTTCTCAAAACGTTGAACAAAAGCGAGACAGAAATTGGAGCATAATTTCATTTACATACAGTTCAAAACTTGGCAAAACAAAACCACAAATATTTAAGGATGCATGCATATATAGTAACAGGATTCAGAAAGGCAAGAAGTCATCACAAAACCCAGGATGATGGATATATTGGGGAGAGAGGGAGGCAATGGATTATGATCCGAAAAGGATGGGAAGAGTCTGGGGTACTGAAAATATTCTATTTCTTATTATGGGCCTAGAATGTTTGCTTTTTAGTTGTTTTAATTAAACTATGCATTTGTTTTATTTACTTTTCTGAATGCTTTTTACATTTCAAAATTTAAAAGTTTAAAAAAAATTAATGAAACATATTTTCTCCATATTAGAAAAAAAGCACCTAAACCAGAAAAATCATACCTACAGTCCATAGAACCAATATAAGAATGGCTTTTAGGAGTCTGTGGGGCCCTGAAACTGTAAACAGAATTATGAATCTATGCACATGTGGAATATTATGAGGCAAAGTTCCAAATCTTTCATTACATTTTTAAAAGAAGTCTAAAGCCCCAAATGTGTTTAAGAATCACTAAGCTATAATCTGCGTCTACTATCAGAACACTTTATCATGATGACTTTTCCCTGTGTACTTAATATTGATTATATTTACATTACTAGAGGTACAGAAGTCCTTCAACAAAAAAATCTATATACTGTAATTATGGCTTTAAGAGAGAGCAAAAAGCTCAAGGTAAAAAAATGTGCAGATGTGGAAAAAAGACTCAGCAAAAATAATTGTTGAGTAGCAAAGATACTTCTTGCTGCTCCAGCTTAAGTTCTCTGCTGAGTAATTTGTTTGCTCATTGATTAATTCATCACATTTCACTAAGGCAGAGAGGCCCAGTTTCATTTCTGGATGTCTGGTGTCCATGTGCTCAACCACTGCATAATGCACATGAGGTGAAATGAAAAATGAACCATAATGTAACTCTGCAGACTTGAAGAGGATGATGAAAAAGAACATGAAATGATTAAAGGGAAAAAAATACAGAACTCAAAATTGGAGAAGTTCTTGGGTTCCTTTGCCAAGATGTAGTCATCTTGTTGTTAGCAGGAATATGGTAACATTAAATAACATATGCCATGTTCTCAATCCTATATATGAGAGTATGGAAATGACTCCAGACTACACATCTCATGACTGACTCTCCCACCTTTCAAGCCAGATGTTTCACAGAAGACATAGTTCATTTTTCTGAGCTTTCTAAACCTTACCACCTTCAGGAACTAAAACCAAGTATTCACATCACATGCAGCATTTCTCAGAGGTTCAGAGCTCTTCATCTCTTAGGATTTTTAATAATTATAAAAACTTATAAAACATTTTGAATAATTGTATCTTTCACTACATTTCTAAATCCATCATTTGATCCTCTGCAGACGTTATTTTGAAAATTTCCTTACTACTTTTTAAAAATAATCATAAACACAATAGAATAAATAAATAACATAAAACATAAAAACAAACAAAAAGCAGAATAGATTTCAATAAAATTGCTAGATGTTTTGGTTTCTGAGGTTAAAAGTTCATGATGAATATAAACTAAAGTGAAGAGTGATTTGGGGACCCCTTTTCAGAATACATTCTGATCACACAATTTTCACACATGTAGTCTCTCTCCATCTGGGTATCTACAAGCATGTTTTTTAAAAAGGACTTTCTGCTCTGATACTGAAGTCAACTCTTACATTCTTATAAAACAGCATGCACAAACAAAACCTGTGAATCAGATGACCAAGCGAGGTCAGAATCACTGTCCTGTTACATAAAGAAGGAGAAAATAACAGTTTCTGTTATTCACCTTTTTTCTGAAGGTCCCTTAGGTGACTGAAGGGAATGATTCCCATCATGTATTAAGAAAAAAAGATCAGCAGTATTCTCAGAATATTCTAAGAACTTTGTTAAAACCCACTCATATTCCAATTTGTCATTAGCTAATTAAACATTGGTTATTTTCAGAAATCATGATATAATAAATGCGTGACACAGATATAATTTAATTTTTATATAATTTTTTCCTATTTCATATTTGTATTCTTAAATACAGAATACAACTGGATTGTTCTTAAATACAAATAGGAAGTAGGAAAAATTATAATTCCTGCTCAATTAAATCAACTTAATAATATGATGCTCACCACTGCTAAGTGAGCATAAAGTTAATTTGGGTTAAATGAACATTCAAGTAAGTTTTAAAAATTGTGTTGAATCCAACGGGTACAAAGCACAGGTATATATGGCACACCTGCTGGGTGAAGATTCAACTATAACTTGGACTTTACCTTGCAAACGCAAACAATGTAAACTAATCATATTTACCCTCATATTAATCTGAAATTTAAAAAAAAGTTTTGTTGAATCAATATGATCAACAAACCTCAATATGATCCATGGCTTTCTGCCAGACAGACTGCTTTTCCTCTGCACTGTGTCCAGGAATGGATAAGATATTGTGAATATAATTAAAGACTTCCTCCTGAAGGGTACAAGACAATATAATTTATTCATTTCTTCACTCAAGTAATATTCAGTCATTATCTACTATGCATACCAATCGTTTTAAATAACTATTACGTGAAGATGGAAAATTATTTAGAGAAAATGAAGAAAAACTGACATTAAAAAGAATAATTATTTTTTGTTTAGGGTGGAATCTTAGAAGCAGCAAACCTGTTCCAATTAGTTTTAGTCTTAATTTATTAATCTTCGATGCCCTAATGAGGGAATACTGTATTTGGGGGGGGTGATCATTATCCACATTCCCAAATTTATCTCAAATCACTCTTGCCCTCATCTATTATGTGCCACCCATACCTTTTTCATTTCCTCTATCTGCTCTCTCTATGCAGTTCCTTGAACATGTCACTTTTTTTCCCACCTCAGGTCCTTTGCGTATACTGTTCCTGTCCAGGAACAATCTTCCCTTGACTCTTTGCTTCAGCAGCTCCTCAACTTCTAAAACTTAGTTGCTTGGGATAAGTCAGTTCTCCATTATCCTCTAAAGTGGCACCCAGTTTCTCTCCCCGGCACTTATCAATGTTTATAATCATATATTTAGTTTTCTTATTCACTCTCAGTCTCCATCACTAAATTATAAGTTCCAAAAACTGCGGGAACTACAGCTTTTTAAATTATCAATGTACACTTGGCTCATAGCAGTCACTCAATAAAAACCTGGTGAATAAAGAAAACCTAGGATCAGCAAACACATGTCTAAATATTTCTACTAATAGTTCTTTCTACCCAATAAGGAGGGAACAAGAAAGAGGACAGCAGTTTCTTAACTCACCTCTCTCAACGGGTCACGTAAGTAGCAATCTATAATTTTGTCATATTGGTGCTCTCGTTCATACATGAATTCACAAATCTGATAGCTAGAATGCAAAAGAAAAACTTCAGTGTATCAAACAAGCAGGTAGGTATTAGTTTATTGTTTTGAGATATTTACTCAGACACATAGGTTACTATTAAGAAAAACAAACATAGCGGATATAATTTCTACTGTTAATTAAAGTTCTGTAAGTATCTAAAGGAGATGAGGATCTGTCATTCCTCTACCTATAGGTTTAAGGTGCTAGTAAATATTATGTTAAAATAATTTTCAAAGCTGGGTACAAGAAAAAATATTAAATCAATATAAGCAATAGTTAATACATTAGATATCAATTGATAATTTTCAAAAATTGTATATAAAGTTTCTTTGTTCAGATTTAAATGCCAAATAAAAAATTCAATAAACTAAATAAATAGCAGTGTTAGCATATTGTATCTTTTTTTTTTTTTTTTTG